CTTCTCCAGCATGACAACCACCAAAGGGCAAGAGTAAGAGTCATTATGGTGTAGTATGGGATGAAAAACCAAACAATTCAAAATTGTGAAAACGTTACCAGATCAAGAAGCTCCCAGGGTGTGTGGGGTGTGGGTGTGTAGAGTGTAATAGAATGAGTACCCTCTAAAGAGGCTAAGCAGGGAGCTCCTTTTGACACACCAGGAAGCACCAGGAACTGGCCCTGTAGCTGAAGAACTCTGAGTGTGGTCATCAGAAAATTCCAGATTACTAATGATTCAAGAATCTGAATGTGAACTGAAGACCTCATTTTCAAGCCAACCAAAAAAGAAAGGACACTACATAAATTCTAAGCCCATGTTCTTTCCACGACACCATGCTGTCTTCTGATAACTGAAGTTAAATACGATTTAAAAGAGGTGCTACAAAATGCAGTCATGTCAAAAAGGGTCCCTGCGGATCTGCTCAGTATTAAAATGCGGGTTCTTTGACAGAAAGAAATTAGAAGGCTCTGGATTCGAAAATGAAAAACATCTGCTGATGCCGCTCTGCCTGAGGCTTGAAAAGAATAAGAACATGCCGGCTACTATAGGTAATGGATGCTCTCTATTTATCCCAAGCCATGTTTTATTACTTTAGGACTGCAAAATAAGATAAGTTGTTATTCCAATAACAACTTTACATAGAGAGAAAAACCACATTGATCCATCCTATTTCCCAAAATGAATATTTCCCTCTACAGACCAGAGGCAAATTGTACAGCCATTTCTACCACCAGCTTTTCCCTTGGTGCATGCAAACACAGCTTTTGCTTTAAACAAAATAGATTTCAAGTTTAGATGTTTATAACAACCACTTCAACTTATCCAGGCTTCCTAGAATAATTAATCATGATATTGCCAGTGGCTGTGCCCATGGTTGCTCATGGAGCAATAGGAATGGAACGGAAATGGAAGCAAAGACAAAAACATATCTTAGAGGTGTGTGCAGAGGGAGGGAGCTTTTCTACACTGTACATTGCATAGCCCTCCCTATATCCCGGGCTCCCTACCCAAACAGATAATGGCTGCGGTGAACCTCTGTCATACATGAGAAAATAGTGACCATCTCTGCCTTTCTGACAGAAAGACAGCTGATAAAGCAGGAGGAAATGCACTCTTTCTAAGAAAGAATGCTTGATCTTTTGGGTCTACTGAAGGTCCATTTTAGGCAGCGTGGCAGGTCAGAAAACCAAGGGAACAGTGAAAATGTTAACCATTTTAAAAAGGATTTTAGGGCCTACTGGTCGGGTCTTCTCCTGTTTAACCAAAGAAGGTTATGTCTTCTTGTTCGCCAAACCACACTGTGATGTGCTACCTCTACCAAAGAAACTTGTATTTTCTTACCTCTCCCAAGCCCAATGCAACAAAGAAGTTTCCTAAACTCATGAAAGTATAAAGCGTCAGGAAGAAATCCTATTGACAACCATATATTAAGTGGAGACTGTCTTCATTTCAATGTCCCTTAGGGTGCCTAGAAGGCTGAGAGAAAGTAAGGGCCACAGAGGATATGGCATTAAAATGTCGACATCTGCATTGCTGATAGCGAAAAGTTTAGCAAAAGAAAAACAGCGAAAAATTCTACTATCAAATGCAAAGGAGAAATGTACAGCACTGCCACCTATACTAGTGAAAAGCATACCAACTTGCATTCAGGAATTTTGTGGTCCAATGTGTGAACCCAAAATATCTTAGACAGGTCTCAATTTAGAAAGTTTCTTTTGCCAAGGTTAAGGATGCAGGAGGTCCTGAGGACTTCTGCCCCAAATGGTCAGGGTACAGCTTGCTTTTCTACATTTTAGGGAGACATAATAACAGCAATCAATACATTTAAGATTTACATTGGGGCCTAGGCAGCCAGATCACAAAATCCCATCTCTACTAAAAATTCCAAAAAAATTAGCTGGGCATGGTGGCATGTGCCTGTAGTCCCAGCTACTTGGGAAGCTGATGCAGGAGAATTGCTTGAACGTGAGAGGTTGCAGTGAGCAGAGATCACAGCACTGAACACCAGCCTGGGTGACAGAGTAGGCTCTGTCTCAAAAGAAAAAAAAAATTTACATTGGAGGAGTTGATCTAGAAGGGCAAGACAACTTGAATTGAGACAGTCACGTATACAGTGGTCCCCGGAGAAACCCCAGCTGGCCTGTGCACTGGGCCAGTGCACACAGTGGGTGGAGCCTCCAGAAGTTCCTGCTGTTTGCAGGGGGAACAGGCCGGCCCCTCCTGTTCCGAGGTGGAACCTGGAATTCAATCTCCGAGGCAGGAAGCCTATAGTAGCAGGACTCGCTGTTTCCCTTTATTTTTTCCTTTTTGCCCAATAAATTCCATTTTTCTCACCCATCAAACTGTCTGCTAGCCTAATTTTTCATGGTCGTGTGACAAGGACCCTGTCTTTAGCTGAACTAAGAAAATGTCCTACCACAGAATGGGTGGGGGGGTGGTTCTAAGTCATATGCAGATTTAAACATAGTCTGATTGGCAGTTGGTTGCAAGGGTATTATCAGTAGAAAGCAATGTCTGGATTAAGGTAAGCAGTTGCCGACCAAGGTTTTATCATGCAGATGAAACCTCCAGGTAGCAGGCTTCACAGAAATCGGATTGTAATGTTTCTTATCAGACTTAGGAATTCACATTATGGCTGGAGAGTCAGAATGAGGCCTGTCCCTCCAACCCCTACTCTTCCTTTCATGGACCGAACCAGTCTTCCAGGTTAAATTTTAGAGTGCCCTGGCTGAGGAGGGAGTCCACTCAGATGGTTGAGGGAGTTGGGGAGGCCTTTGAATTTTATTTTTGGTTTACAAATGGCTCCTCTGAATAAATTTCTTTAGTTAGTGGTATATTTAACAAGGCAAGGATCAACATATTCAGTATTAATATAAAGCAAGCCAAGAGCATTTTTGCTCTAAGAGGTGGGGAGGCAGTAAGGAAAGAAGGGAGGAAGTCAGGTTCATAGTTAGCAAGTTCATTGTTCAACTCTGCATCTACATGGACAAAATAGCTATTCCAAGGAACGAGGAATGAACCAGGACAGGGCTGCAGCATCTTGCGTCTCAATAAAGTCAATCCTTCAGCAGCCTTTTGCCAAAATGTTTTACCTCATTACGTGAGATTGTGATTCACCCCAGGGATATTAATTTGCCCACTGTTTAATCATGGCTTGCAAATATTTACAGCAATTTTCAGGCCTAAAATCCCTGGTTTTGCTATATTTATTTTTTTGATTTTAATTTTTTTGTGAAAGTTTGAAAGCCCTACAACCAGCCAGGCCAAAAAATAAAATAAAATGCCTTTGTAAAAGGCATCCAAGCCCAATTTCCATTTCCTGGAAACCTAAATTTTTCAGATTGGAAGAGTCCTTAGAAATTATCTAGTGCTCTCCACACACCATGAAACCCCTCAAACAAATATTTGACAATATCCCATTAGTAACGAAGTTCAATACAGCAATGACTCTCATTTGGGCAAACACAAACACGCACACGCACGTACACACAGAGCACGTGTAATTCTATAAGCGCATGTCTCTAAGCTCTAAGTGATTCTGGTATGTTCACTTAAGCAGCACACTGCCATCTCCTTAGAGCTCCCAGAAAATAACTAATTGATCTAGTCTGGAAAAGCATCTGTCGAGGCGATTTGCCCACTGTTAGAAGTTACTAAAAGGCTTAGCTAGCCCTAGAGCTGAAGTCTCCTGATTCCCAACACAGCATTTTCCCCTCAATACTCTGCTTTCTTCTGTTCTCTCCAGACACTCTCAAATGACAAAAATGCAATCAATAGAGCGCTGTCCACTGTTTCACATGTACTGACAAATGCCACACTTACAGTCGCCTCAATTTATGATTTTTCACTGTAGTGATTACTACCATTTTTCTTTCCTGCAAGTAGGTTTAGGAAAAAGCCCAGGTAAACCTAACCCCACTGAAATTCATTAATTCAACAACACGTATTAGTCAGACTCTACCTCTGCCCTCAAAGGGACGGTCTCACCTAAAGTAGCAGCTAAAGGCTGCAGTGAAGCTCCAGTTTAGGTACCTATTCTTTCTTAGTCCCTGAAATACAGTATAGAAATCCCAAAATCACATCTTCCCATCTTATCAAATCCCAACCAATATATTCTACACTTATATGCACTCAAGTGGAACAAGCTACTACTTGTGAACACTTCAAGTACCTTCTAATTTCTCAGGTTTTCTTCACACAATTAGTTCCCTCTCCAGTTCAGGATGGGAAATGACTTAATGAAAAATGGCATCGCCTGGAGGCTTCTCTCACATAACAAAGCTAATCATTTTGGTCTGTTCTGTAGAATGTTTCATTAACCAGAGGATGGTCCTATGGTTTATCCCTTCATTCTATTGGCCAAGAGAAATGGAAGTAGAGGAAGCCTGTCTTCATAGCTCACTTTTTCTCCTCTTAGAACATGAAATTTTCCTATTTGCATTCTCTTATCCCAGCCTCAGGTCTCCACGAGATATCAATTTCTGTTCCTAATATTCACAGGAGCTCTTGTTAGTCAGCTGTGTTCTGTGGGCACTGGGGAAAAAGTTCTGCCTCTGACCGGCTGCTATGTTTATGCTTAAGTCCAGACGGTACCACCATCAGGCAAAGCTCCAGCTGCCATTAATGGGCATCCTTCTCTGAGCTTCTACCACCAGCCATTTTTCAATGATTTCTACCCCTAATTCTCGCTAAGCACTGACGTTCTTTCATGGTCCAGTCACTTCTTCCATTTTCTGCTTTTTAATTTATTTGCTTTCATCCAACACACCAATTTAAATACTTTATGCCATATACTGTTCTTCCATATACTGCATAACATTATCTTTACTAGGCAACCAAAATACTGGTTCTTCCTGTGCCATCAGCCATTACATATTTGCACATACAATTATAAACAAATATATATTGAGACTCAGTTACATATAAAGTACTCAAATCTATTTACATTAAAAAAAAAAAAAAAGAGAGAGAGAGAAAGAGAAAACAGATTGCATGGAGATCTTGACGGATGCTCCAGAAGAAAGAATAGGATGAGAGAGTCCCTGCGTCCCTCTGCCCCACAAGTTGTTCTCCATAAATAGTGTGCATGAAATGATATTTACTTTGGGTTCCAGGATACATGACAGATCAGGAAAACTTCCGGCCTTTAAACACATAAGTTAGTTGCTACTACTGTCGTCTTTTTGCTGTTCTGGGACATGAAATGTTTGAGATGTCAGTTACTACCTACAGAGGGGCTAGTTTTAGCATCAGCTACATTATTCTTTCTGTAATGCTTGGAACATCTAAAACCATTGATATAAAACTCCCTTAAAATACAGAATGTAACTTAAATATACGGGCTACCCATCTCAGCCCACCACTCCCAAGACAGGAGAGGAAGCAAAATAAATATATAGATTTAAAAAAAAAAAAAAGAAGAAGAAATCTGTTTTCTAGATAACGTAACAAAAGAGTTGAAAGAAAAGGAAATATAATTAAACTTCATTGTACTTAAAATAAAATTTTAAAAGGTTCCCCTATTCCCTATCAAATCTGGGCTGACAGGCATGTTATTTAATTGCCCATAAATGAGCTCCTTTAAATAGCACCCATTAACACCCTAATTTCAGCATGAGTCTGTGCACAGAGAGAAAAAGATAAACTTTGAAATGGCTAAAAAGCAAAACAAACTGCTTTCTTAAAATGTCAACACAATCTGAAATGAGGAAAAGCCACAAGGGGGAACAAAACCTCCCTACCTTCAGCTGTGGATGAAGCAGCCAGGCCCCAGACCACTGACTGCAAAGTCAGAGTCTAATCTGAACTGATGTCAAGGTAAAACATCTGCTTTGTCAGAAACCCCAGAGGTAATGAAAAACGGGGCACAAACCATTATTGAAACCATAATCTGCACCAAAGGCAAATCTATGAATCTAGTCATGTGTGCCCATGCATAATTTACCCCGGCATCCAACACATTTCCCCGGGACATCCTGTCAGGGTCCCAAACTCAACATATCTAAACAGAATATAATATCTCCTCCTTAAACCAATTCTCCCGTGCAAGTATGTTGCAATTTCTATATCACCAATTATCCTAGTCTTGAAGCTAAAGAATCATTTCTACTACTTTCCTCTCCTTCAATCACATGCCCAGTCAATTACCTAGTAATAATAACTAACATTTATTGAGGGCTACCTATAAGCTGAGCACAGTACCAGGCACTTGACACACCTATTTAATCCTTGCAACTAACCTGGCAAACAGGTGTAATTATTCCCATTACACGTATAAGAAAACCAAGGCTCAGAGGTTCAGGTGGTTAAGTAACTTGATAAAGGCCACATAGCTAGTAAGCAGCAAAACCCAAAGCAGACACACCCCCTGACTTTGGCACTCATGCTCATTACACTATCACGGTCTCATATCCACCCACTAGTTCTTCCATTCCTACTGCCAACTCTCTGGCTTAGGCCTTTATTACCTTTTGTGTAAACTATTTAAATGCACTCTTAACCTTCAGACTCTTTTCCTTCAAATGTATCCTGCACAGGGGTGCTGCATTAAACTTCTCGAGTGCTACTTTGTTCATGACATTCTCTTACCCTTAAAATTTCTCACTGTTCCCCAAATACTACAGGCTTCCGATATCCAAAGCCTTCCATCAACTAGATTTTCCCCATCCTCCAGAAAACATGCAACTTTACAGTCAAGTCTAATTCTTTGCCACTCTCCAAAAATAGGAAGTGAATTTCCATTTTCTGCCTATAATTAAGTAACTAATATCACCTGGAACACTGTCCCACTCATTCTGCAAGGCTCAACTCAAATGATATCTTTGTAAGGATGCATTCTCTGTTAAGGAGGGAAAAGACAAAAGAAGAAAAGAAGTGTTATTTCTGATTGAGGGCTTTCTTTGTGCCAGGCATTATTCTAAAAAAAATCTGCATGACAACCCAACGAAATGGGTACTACTATTATCTCCAGTTTACAGGTAGAGAATTGAAGCACAGAGCAGTTAAGTAGCTATCTAGAGTCACACTGCTGTGTAAAGTCAAGATTCAAATCCATAAAATTGGGCTCTAGAGCCCCCTTTCCTAAGCATTTCACTCTACAGAACTCTCAGAAGTGATCCTAACTTTCTCATGGATGGGTCAAGATGATCACATCTGAATCTACTGTATCTATCTTTTTTTATGTATTATTATTATTTTTTATAAAGGTGGGGTTTCACCATGATGGCCAGGCTGGTCTTGAACTCCTGACCTCAGGTGATCCACCCACCTCAGCCTCCCAAAGTGCTAGGATTACAGGCATGAGCCACAGCGCCCAGCCTTTACTGTATCAATCTTGATATCACCAATAACAAGAGACCCAGATACTACATGCCTCTTAAAGTTTTACAAGTAAGGAATTCACCACAGGCCTATAAGATCCTTGCCAAATAAACTGCACTGGAATCTAATTATGCCTCCACTCAGTGCTTCTCAAACTTCAATGAACATACACATCATTTGGGGATCTGGTTAAAAAGCAGATTGTGACTCAGTAGGTTCAGGATGTGGCCTAAGAGTCTGTATTTCTAAGAAGCTTCCAGTAGATCCTTATGCTGCTGGACCACACTGCGAACAGGAAAGCTCTAGAATGTGGATCTAATTGCCAGCTGACAAGACACAGGGGGGATAGAGGAACAAATTAAGCAACTCATGGCTGCACCTAGAACAAAGCAATGAGGCACTTGCCCCAAGTGCAAAATTTAAGGGTGTGACAAAAAATACGGTAACAGACATAAATATTTTAATACATATTTTCCTAAATCAAAATGAATGCAAAAAAATTAGGATGAATATAATAACATGATTTTAAATAAAGTCAGGGCCAGTATCACTGGTTTTTCTTCTTCCCTCAGGCTCCCATATGGCTCTGCACAACTATGCAGAAGCTATCTGCCCAGTCAAGGGTATGAAAAATTCTACAGGGCAAATGTAGGCCTAGTTTCTAAAACAAGTAAATTATTATCAAAAGAAGGGGAATTATAGTTTAAGAGACTTAAGAGGCAGACACTTATTTTGATATTGGTTTGAACAAAATGCACTGTAAAACAATTTGGAGACAATAAGAAAAACAGAAACACACACTGTTATAAAAGAATTATTTTTGTTTTTTTCAAGTTCATGATAATCATAATGACACTGATTTTTTTAAGTCCTTCGTACTGAAGCAAGGCATTATAGTATTTATGAGTAAAATGATATAATATCTGGGTTTACCTTAAAATACTTAAGTAAAAAAAAAGTAGAGGACATATATGAAACAAAATTAGTGAAATGCTGATGTCTTCTATAGCTGAGTAATGTTACTTGGGGACTCATTATACTATTCTCTAATTTTTATATGCTTAAGATTTTCATAATAAAAAGGTTTTGTTTTTGTTTTTGTTTTTTGAGACAGAGTCTTGCTGTCGCCCTGGCTGGAGTGCAGCAGCACAATCTCGCCTCACTGCAACCTCCACCTCCCAGGTTCAAGCAATTCTCCTGCCTCAGCCTCCCAAGTAGCTGGGACTACAGGCACGCACCACCATGCCATGCTAAGTTTTTGTATTTTTAGTAGAGATGGGGTTTCACCATGTTACCCAGGATGGTCTTGATCTCCTGACCTCGTGATCTGCCTACCTCAGCCTTCCAAAGTGCTAGGATTACAGGTGTAAGCCACTGCACCCAGCCAAATTAAAAAAAATTTTTTTTTCTTTAGGTACCCTTAACATTTACTTTGTACCCCTCAAACAGAACATAGCATATACTGACTTATATAGCTCTAATAAAAATAGGTACTATTTTAAATATGTGCCAGGAACAGTGATTAGTGCCACAATAATGTTGTGACATATTGCACAGGTAAATAAAAGTGAACTTTAACAGGTTAAATAACTGCCCCAAGGCACATATCCAGAAAGTGGAAAAGGCAAGACAAACCCAGACCCCACCGGCTCAGAAGCTCACACTCTGAAGCACTATGGTATAACAATTTCTCTTATGCCAAATGGGTATTATGATAGAAGGTAATCTCAGCTTACAGTTCTTTGTATCTCTCATGGTCCTAAGACACAGTGGCCATTTTGAGAGGTTAGGATGAGGACTATCTGGCTTTGCACGATGGCTCTGATACCAGTTGTGTGACCTCCAGCAAATTACTTCATTTTGCTGCTCCTAAATTTCTTCATCTATATAGGGCTATTCATTTCACATGAGTATGAGATTAATAACCAACTAATAGAGGATTTTTTTCTTTTTTTTCTTTTTTTTTTTTGAGTTGGAGTCTCGTACCGTCACCCAGGCTGCTGCAATCTCCGCCTCCTAGGTTCAAGTGATTCTCCTGCTTCAGCCTCCCGAGTAGCTGGGATTACAGGCTCCTGTCACCACGCCCAGCTAATTTTTTGTATTTTTAGTAGAGACAGGATTTCATTAAGTTGGCCAGGCTGGTCTCGAACTCCTTACCTTGTAATCCACCAGCCTTGGCCTCCCAAAGTCCTGGGATTACAGGCGTGAGCCACCACGCCCAGTCTCATAGAGTTATAAGGAAGATGAAATGAATTAATAAATGTAAAGTGCCCAGAATTGTGCCTGACACATGGCAATCACTGATTGTTAGCTACTGTCATTTACTATTTTATTTATTTATGTATTTATTCTTGAGACAGAGTCTTATTCTATCACCCAGGGTGAAGTGCAGTGGTGCAATCTTGGCTCACTGCAGCCTCTGCCTCCTGAGTTCAAGCAATTCTCCTGCCTCAGCCTCCTGAGTAGCTGGGATTACAGATGCATGCCCTCACACCCAGCTAATTTTTGTATTTTTAGTAGAGATGGGGTTTCACCATGTTAGCCAGGATGGTCTTGATCTCCTGACCTCCAGTGATCCACCTGCCTCAGCCTCCTAAAGTGCTGGCACTACAGGCATGAGCCACCATGCCAGACCTATCATTATTACTAAGTTCTCAACATAATTGAATGACACTGAACACACTCCTCAGGCAAGCTCATAACCATTTATTTTTACTACTTCTAAGAAATTGTTTTTCACCATAGATCTTAAAAGATGGCTTGCACCAATGCTTAGAAAAGCCAATATATAGTAACTGAAATTAATGTTCCTATGTTTGGAGAAAGAAAACTCCAATATTAATTAAAACCCTTAAACACAAGGACCAGGACCATTGCTACAGGAGCACACTTGCTTTGAAGCTTAATGTCAAGGAATTTATGTGTTTGTGGGATTCAAAAATCTCCAGGAAGGTACCAGGATCCTAAGTTGAGAAGCCAGATGCTCCATAGAAATAAATGGGAGAGGCTGGGCGCCGTGGCTCACACCTGTAATCCCAGCACTTTGCGAGGCTAAGGCGGGTAAATCACCACTTCAGGTTAGGAGTTCAAGACCAGCCGGGCCAACATGGTGAAACCCTGTCTCTACTAAAAATATTTTAAAAAATTAGCCAGACATGGTGGTGCATGCCTGTAGTCCCAGCTACTCAGGAGGCTAGGGCAGGAGAATCCCTTGAACCTGATAGGTGGAGGTTGCAGTGAGCCAAGATCATGCCACTGCACTCCAGCCTGGGCAAGACAGTGAAACTCCACCTCAAAAAAAAAAAAAAAAAAAAAAAATGGCCCTGGGTCACAGACCAACGTGGGTGGCAGAACCGGTCTCAGACGCACTGAGCCAAACTGAGAACCATGTGCCAGAACAAACAGGGGCCGAGCTATTGTTAACTGCTCAGCCAAGAGAGTTAGTTGAGAAGTTGTGCCAAAGCTTACCAGCCAAAATCATGGGGAGACAGACCAGGGCTGGGAAGAGCAAGGACAAGGTCCGCAGTGATGCAGGAACCATCGGAGCTCAAATCAGATGGAAAAGGCTTCTGACACAGCTTGCTGCTTTCAACCACATATGACCGGCCTCTTATATAGTTATGTTGGGTCAGTCTTGAAACCATACTTTTCCAAACTGTCTTGTTATATGTGAAAAGTTAAATAAATAACAGGCTCAGACCTTAGACGACCTGGCAGATCAGCATCTCCCGTCCCACAGGTAGTCTCTCAAGTCACTGCCCAGTCACCAGCAGCACTTGGCTTTAACTTCCACAGTGCTGGGTATATATTATATCTAGCTTACTCACAATTACTATCATTTATTGAACCCTTGTCTCTAACAGACAGGATGCTGAGAGCTTTCCAGTTATATCAGTTAATCAATCCTTCAGCGACCCAATGAGATATTGTCATTATCCCCATTTTACAGATGAAGAACCTAAGGCTTAGAGAGCACAGGGTCACACTGCTAGGAACCATCAGCTAATTCTGACTCCAGAGACAACTTTTATACTACACTGCCTCCTTTCTTATGCTACTTTTTATTAGCAGACTCTTTGCTACTAAAAGGGCCAGAAATGAGTGAGAGACTGTTGCAGGTAAACTGCTGACATGATAAACTGAACAACCTGGAACATAATCTTCCCCAGGGAAGCCAGAAAGCTTGGTAAAAGCAGTTGAAGAGGAATGAGCAATCCTTAAACTATCTTTACTTTCAGCAAACAGGGTCATTTTCTCCTCTTCAATTGCTCCTCTGCTCCTGTCAACTGCTGCAACCTGCTGTGGGGAAATCATGCAGAGGGGGAAAGTATCACACTTTTTTTTTTTCTTTGAAACTTGGGGGAAGGGAGAAAAAGATGGGGTGGAATTCTCAATCGAGAAAAAAATATAAATACAGTAAAAAGGGAATAGAACCTCCAAATAAATAATATCTGACATCAAAAGACAAACTAAGAGCAGTAATCAAAAAGGGACAGCTAAAAAGAAATTATGCAATTTTTCACAAATCTGTTGCCAAAATATTTTGTTTTCTATTCATACAAAATGTCAAGAGAAGCAGAATCTGGGTTAGGAAAATACGATGACTCCAAAATCCATATACCATACCTGAAAACAACTGTGTGGTTGTGAACCCTTACAGAGTGCGTAGAATGAGAATGGAACGTGACAGACACCAACATTCAAGGGACAAGCAAAGCAGGGAGACATCTAAACGTACCTAGAAGGATATGGTCCAAGAAAATCACATGTAGCATGAAAAGTACCCCTTTAATTTAACAACCAAGAGGCCATTAATGACCTCATCAAAAGCAGATTCAATCAAATGACGGGACACAAGCCATTTTACTAAGCTTATTCTAAAATGGAGGTAGGATGGCTGGGCGTGGTGGCTCACACCTGTAATCCCAGGACTTTGGGAGGCCAAGGCGGGTGGATCACCTAAGATCAAGAGTTTGAGACCAGCCTGGCCCAACATGGTGAAACCCCGTCTCTACTAAAAATACAAAAATTAGCTGGGTGTGGTGGCGGGTGCCTGTAATCCCAGCTACTCAGGAGGCTGAGGTAGGAAAATTGCTTGAACCTGGGAGGCGGAAGCTGCAGTGGGCTGATATCCGGCCATTGCACTCCAGCCTGGGCAACAAGAGCGAAACTCAGTCTCAAAAAAAAAAATGGAGGTAGGAAGATAAGAGCAGGTCACCAAACACATGGGAATGCAGAGTTGAGTGAAGATGTATAAGCTAGGAAAGATTCTGACAAACAGGGGAGAGACAAACAGAAAATCTGAGGCTAAGGATACAAGTGAGGAAATGGACAACCAATGGGAGGTGAAAGAAAGGGACGATGTGACGAGAGCAGAGGGACTGACCAGGAGGATGGCAGCCTCATCCACTAAGACAGAGAGAAAGACCGTCAGTGTGCACACTGGGTAACTGCCCATGTTTTTTATATTCTCTTTGAGCTAGGAGTTAGGTTGCCTAAGAATAAGTATAGAAAAGATAGAGTGGGTAAAGAAATTCAAGAGTATTTCAAAATAAACTGTATAGAAATTGAAATAACAACCTATGAATTTAGTATATAATTTCCTTCAGAAGGGCTCAACACCCTAGGTTTGTGAATTCTGAGTGGTCAGTGAATAAAGCTGATATTTGCCCTCTGCACATTCATCCTTTCATTCTCTTGTTTCTTCCATCTTCCATAAATAAAATGTGTGTCAGATGCTTCTGTGTACTGGGCCTACAGGATAGCACTGAGCAAGACAAATAGTGCCCCTGCCTATAGAGTCTTATAACATAACAGAAGAAACAAACAGAACAGAAAATCACAGTAGCAATGAATATTATATAGAAGTTCGTAGTCCTATGGAGAAAATGTAAGAGGATTGCCCAATCCTCACTAGAGGGGACAAGGAAAACTTGCTTAAAGAAATAACATTTGAGACCTGGAGGAATGATAGCTGCCTAAGGAAGAAGAGAAAGTGAGAGTGTTCCGAGGAGAACAACATGTACAAGGACTTTCCAAGGAATCCTCAAACAGAAAGAACATGTCACTTTGGAAGATCAGAAAGGTCCACATGTTAAAGTGTAAAATGTGGCAAGTCTAGAGATGTATGCAG